TCAAAAAAAGAAGTGATGACAGCTAAAATAATTAAAAGAGTGAAAGAAAGGTGAGTGAGAGAAGGTGAAATTAGGCACAGCTGAAGCTGGACATCTTATGGACATTACAAAAGTGTCCAGAGGGTTCAGGAGGACACAAGTGTAAGACTCTGGTAGTGTCACTGGTCTAAGGTTTTCTCCGCCAAGGACTAAGAGAAAGGAATGGAGGGGTTAGAGAGGGGAAAAGCATTTTACATTGAATCCTTTTAACAACGTTCCAGGAATTCTAGGATAATGCCTGTGGACAGGCCACAGGAATGCTTAGCAGCTTCACGGATCCCAAATTCATGGGACCAGGAAAATGTTCCCTCACCCCTCCGCTTTTCTATACAGTGCCCCAGAACGGGTCATGTAGGGTGGGGTGGAAAATACCTCAGCAGGGGATGTGATTAATGTCTCTCATACCTACAGCCATAACCTTCAATGGCACAATGGGTCTTTTATCTTAACTTAATCTGCCCCATAGTTTTTATGCACCTGTAACAAATTACTATGAGCACTGTACTGGGGCACACAACATTCAAAGCTGCTCTGAATTTTCAAATAGATAGTGAAGCTGCAATGAACACGAATGCAGAATTGCAATGTTTAACGTCAATGTAAGAAACCACATTTTACCAAGAAAATGGTCTTAAAGTAGAAAAGCGGTGTGTTGATGAAAAATCTTTACAAGGTTAACACGATGGCGCAGTAGCAGTTCGCCTCACGGCAAAAAGAAGGTCGCTGGTTCGAGCCTTGGCTGGGTCAGTTGGCGTTTCTGTGTAGTGTTTCCATGTTCTCATCGTGTTCGTGTAGGTTTCCCCTGGGTGCTTCGGCTTACCCCACAAGTCAAAGACATGTGGTGAATTGGGTAAGCTAAAATTGACCGTAGTGTATGTGTGTGAATAAGTGTTTATGGGTGTTTGCTAGTGATTGATTGTGGCTGGAAGGGTATCCGCTGCGTAAAACATATGCTGGATAATTTGGCAACCCTAGATTAATAAAGCGACTAGGCCAAAACAAAATGAATGAATGAAATGTCAAAAGTTTTGGAAAAATCCACAATAACACAAGGGTTTTCCTAATGAGTATTTCAATGATTGCCCCATGAAGGGTTAAATGTCTTTTTGGAATATATAAACAAAAAAGTATTAAAATTCCTTACTCTTTAAGATTACAAGACAAAGATAAAAGTGATAAAGATAAAATTACAGACAGACACGTTAATTAGAATAGTCAACCCTAGTCAAGCTATAATTAGCCACCACTTCATGCCAAAAACACTTGTGTCTGCAAGGGCCTCTACATCAACCAAAGTCTGGCTGCTGGCTCTCTCCACCCCCACCCTAAGAGTTGACAGGAATTTGGGAAGGCAGAAGATCCAGGGTAAAAGTTGAGGCATGTGGCAGCCCCAAGAACGTGCACTGCTGGGGGCCAGCCTCACCACAGAGGCAAGTAGGCCTCCCAAACCAAGGCCAGCCAAGGGTTCCTATCACCACAAAGCTTCCCTAATATAATCTGTTAATGTAGGACTAAATATAGAACTGCAGCATACAGCAGATCACACCATTTATAAGTTCAATCCTCACACTTTATTTTTTTCATCTGAAGTTTTTCTTTCACTCTTCATAAACGGCTAAAACAGACTGGTGAGCCAGTAAACCCAATATGGGTTTATCTTTGGGCACTTTCACATCTGTAGTTTGGTTCATTTGGTCTGGACCAAGGGCAACAAATGATAGCTTGTAGCAATTTCTGCCGTCTTTGGGTCCTTTTAACACCACACTGGTTGCTTTGGTCTGAACCAGTTGAAAAGAACGAAAACATCATATACATCACTTTATAATGATGTATATGTTTTAATGCACAATGTTTTAATGCATTGCACGCGACTTCAGGAGGAGGCGTGAATTAATGTAGGTAAACTGCGATATGGTCATCTTGCGGAAATATTATAAAGGATCCATCAACTAATATCTCTCTCTCTCTATCATGAAACATGTTCATACACGTTTGGGACTGTGAGAAATTATAGTCTGCCTCGACACAGCTTTCACTCCTAATTATGCTTATGTTTTAAAAGCTTGTTTGCCATAGGGAGAATGTTTATTCGGATTTCAGAAAAAGTACATAATCTAGTATCTCCAGCGTGATAATTCATCCCTAGTCTGGGAGTTGCCAATTAAGACCCATCTGCTGACCAAAAAATAATTCTGTTTAATCTCATCACTTTACCACTTGGTGTTTTGAAAGTTTACCAATAATGTGGGTAAATTGAGCAGGAAGATGAAAACAGTATAAAATGTATCAAATGAAGAGGTTTGGAGTTCTTTCCGACTCCACTGAATTCAAAGTGCTGTCTATACTTTGTCCCTGCTGTGCTGTAATAAAAACATAATCTTCCTCAAGACGTCATCATAATGTACTTGTTTCTAACTGGACTGACAATGCATTGCTTCATTAATGAAGTAATTTATACTCTATACGGTTAACAACACATGCTGACTCTGAAGCTTTTTTCCTCCCTAAAATCCTTAACATAATTAGGTGGCACTACAAAACTGCAAAAGTTTAATTTGTATGAATATTAGTACAATTTCAAAAATAAATGTACAGAAGCGGACACTGATGCAGTATCCTTTCAAAAACAATTTGGGGTACAGATACAGTATGTGTGTTTTAGGTACAAATATGAAAAACTACTACCCCAGTAATAGTTTTTTTACATTAATTTCTAAGAGTGTTGCAACAAATTCTTTATGGGTTTATGCTACACATACTTTCTTATTATTAATAAATGTCTGTCTGAACATCTGAAATTTCAACTTGCATTGCAGAATGCAATTATATTTAACACTAAGCAGCACTGTCAACCTTGTCCCCTTGCGATGTGAACATGGCTAAAGAGCAGAGATTAATGCTACAGTATAATGAATGAGAACATCTAAGAATTAAGTCGTTTGTCATGTCAGTGCCCCGTCCATCCTCTTATTCCTCACTGTCAAAAGCGCTTTGAAGCAGTGTCTGGATGTTCTCATTTTCTTTTTGTCTTCTTGTCTTTCAGATAGGAGAGTGAATCTAGGTTCCAGCTTCTCACCAAAACCCCTCCCAGAGCTTCCGGACCTTTTTCGTTGTCTATCTCCATAAGGATTGACCCGCAGCCCCATCCCAGGACCCGGGAGACCGGGACACAAACGGGCCCTTCAGGTTGATTTATCGGACGTATTCAAGGCCAGACACGCAAACAGACAGAATGATTGTGATGTCTCTGATCACCAGAACAACCTCTTAAAAGAAAACTGCACTTCCACCGACTTCCATCGGATGCTATTGAAATTATAATAACAATAACAGTATTAATAATGAAAGATATCTTTGTAGAGAGTCATGCATCATGATAGTTCAAAAGCAAAAAAAAATGACATTAAAAAAGCAAAAATGGCTATTTTGTTCATTCTTTTCTTCTGCATCATCTTTTTTCCTCTCTTAAAAAAAACAAAGTAAAACCACACAAGCGCCTTCATGGTGAAGTCAGGTTTAAAAAAAAAAAAAAAAACTAAATGGAAAACAAGTGGCACTGCATCATGATGGCAGGCGGGACAAAACGGAATTGTTTTAGTGGAAGAAAGAGCTATCCGTCACTGTCTGTCAGCTCATTCATCCACTACTCCCTGAGCATCCAGCCCATCCGTCATCCCCTCTCAGTCCCTGACACCCGCCCAGGTTGGCCACTTCGGCAACGAGGGAGGGGGTCCCAAATATGGACCCTTGTACCCCCACTATTATTGTTCCCCATCCTCTCTAGATCTCAGAATTCACAAACACACACACACACACACACACACACTCTACATTTGTGTCAACGACCTTAATTTAAACATTCACTTCATGCATTGCCTCAAAAAAACCTCTAGTTGATACAATTGATGCATGAATAGAATATTGAACCATTTCATTTTTTGGTAAGGTTGTTGGAAACTTAATACAGACAAACATCTGAGAATGCAAAAACATATAATATATAAATCAACATTTAAATTCGTATCGAATCCCATGTAGGCATCAATACTTTACTAAAGCCATGGGGAAACATGTATTATCAATGCATTGTAATCAGTAATTAGTGATTCAGTAAAGTAAGATTGGTTTAAATGCACAAACACTAATTTAATAACTTAGCTGGTGTTTGCAATATGAAAGATATTAGCTCACATGCAGGACTGTACCTAAAATCCAATGTGTATTTACCCTCAGAATCAGTGGATTATTTATTTTTTTATTTTTTTATCATTACTGCAATTTTCCCTGAATCAGAACATGCTTGGACCAAAATGATGATCATAAGAGGCCTGACTAGGAATATGATTTAAAAATGTGTTTTTGGAAAAAGATTGCTACTTGACTGTGCTAAATGCTAGGCTTCAGCTTTGCCAACATGAAAGCAAAACACTATGAAAACAACGTCTTCTAAAAAAAAAAAAAAACAGATGAGAGAATAATGCCTTGGACTGTTGCCTTTCTGCTTGCAACATCAACTTGATGTTCTCCTCAATGTGTTAGAGTTTGTGTTTTTTGAGCCAGAGCAATTGTTTCTGATCAAACGCACCAGCTCTGCAATGTTCAAGTATGGAGAGGTGCAAATGGGATAAGATGACCCGTAAAGAACCACCTAAAAAGCCTTACCTTAAACCAAACAGGAGGAGGTCTAGGGGCCACCTCCACAACACAATTCTACATACAAAAAGGTGAATATCAGGGCGGGCCCTGGGACCACAGATATGAAAACGAGCATGCGAACATTGAGGAAAGAAACCTTTAAACAAACCTAAGGCAGGATGGCAGTTTAGGGGGTTGGGTTAGGCAGTAGAGGGGAAAATAAGAGAAAGAAGGGGGGGATGTTGAGGGGTAAACAGGGAAAACAGAAGAAAGGGGAAAGAAGAATGAAAGAAAAGAAAAAGGAGTGGAAAAAAACAAAGACCTACTTGTCTCAAGTCGATGAAGGCGAGCAGCAGAGTGTCCCCCTGGAAGCCAGGCACCGGGCCGGCCCTGGCAAACCCTGTGGGAAAGAGAGAGGGATAAAGAGAGCAGGGAATTCGCCATGGAGCGGGAGATTGGCAGACGGATGACAGCCGGGACAAGGGGAGGTCAGGGGGAGGTTCAGTGGGGGTGGGGGAGGTGAAATGGAATGGGGGCTTTGAAGGTTTTGGAGATGCTGGCAGAGGGGGTGGAGGGTTGGTTGGGTGGTTCAGAGCAGAGTCATGTCTCTGGGTCTGCCACCGGCTTTGTGTGGCCCATTCGGGGGAAAAAATCATCATCAAACTCTCATTAATTCTCCCCAACGTCGATCTGACAAGCCAGATAGAGGGGATATGTGAGGACGAGGGGGCTGCCTTTACACCAAAACCCAAAGCCTGATGTCCATTCCCATGAGGCCGTTCTCCCAGACCAGTGGCGTGGTACTGAGCGAAGGGGCCGACAAAACTTGTGAAAAGCCAATGGGCTGGGGGTGTGTGGGGAGTTAAGGAGTTGTAGAGGTTTCTGAGGGCCATTGGACCTTTATGTGTCTTTGGACGGGAACCCGTAAACAAGCAGCTTCACCATTCTAAAAAACGGAACATTTGACACGCAGAGACAAAACAAGCCGGGGCCAGGAGAAATCCCTTTCACCTCATGATGCTGCGTGCCTTTCTTGCCTCTCACGCAAATTACACGCCTGCCATCTTTATTTCTGACCCCCGCGAACGCTGAGCCAGCGACTGCTTACCCTCGCGCTTTTGTTGCTGCATCTCGGCCAGAGACTCTGCCGATTTTAGCAAACTCTCTGCTCGCCTTTTTACAGGAGAGAGACCGGCGGCAAAGGCGACATGGTTCATGTGACGCATGTCAGAGCACATCTCATCAAGATTTAAGAACAAGAACCTCTAGGCTTTCACCTAACTGCCACATACCAGCATAAAGCCCTGTTAGTGACTACGCTCAAAAACCTCCCAAGGGATAAGCAGGGACAAGCTGTCAAGACCTTTATGCTCCCCAAAACCAGCTAAACTGAACAGGAAGCAATTCATGAAGCTCTTTCTCTTTGAATGTCCCATCGCCCACTTGAGGTGCTGTACAGGTCAAAGAGGCACAGCAGACATAAGAGAGGCCAATATCAGTTTAACAGAGCCTCTTGCTGGCGTGAGATAAAACTGCAGGTTTCTAATCACCCAAAAACCTTTAAGTTAGACAAAAGGGGTAACAAAAGCATTCTAGTACCTTACTAAATTTGAAGGTCGTTGAGGATGTGTCATTGGAGCAGTACCATCAAACTGGCATCATCATACTTAAGGGGCTCATACACTGGATAGTTACAGGAAATACGTGTCATAAGAACTGAGGCTGAGGAAAAAAATAAATTCTCCAGTCAAAATAACAGGTAAAGAATTTGTTCCCAGTTATTAAGAAGTGAAGACACTGAAAATCAGGCACTTCTGCCAATAGTTCTAAAATCTGGGAAAAAGCTTATCCAATGTAACAGCCTCTTTATTACCCATAAAAGGTCTAGAGCAATATCTAAGGAAACATATCCTTATCCTTGGTAACTTATTTGTACCTTTTAGAACTGCAAAGCTGTCCCTTTAAAGGTGCTGCCTCAGTACCAAGCTGTGTACCTCTACATGTACAATGTTTGCACATTTGCTTTCGGACAGTGCAGCAATCAAAGTGCTTTTCGGAACCTTCAACACTACACGTTTACTACTGATATGATCATCATCGTTAAGTTCAAATACATTTAGAGGTTCAAGAGATTAAAAATTCTAACAGATTTGTGAACTTCTGGGCTTAAAAAAATTTTGGGGCGGGATCAAAATCGGTGACGTAGCATTAATCTGCTAGTGGAGAGATGACACGTCGGTTTCTCATTATTATTCATGGCGGAGTTTTCTTATTCTCTGAGAAGACCCTGCTTCTTAATTATTCATGAGAGAACGTGCTTTTCCGAAGGCAAGGAAGACCTGCCAAGCTGTGAGACCCAATGACTGGGTGAGAACGCTTCCATAATCGACTGGGTTTGTTGAATGTTTTTCCCCGCGATGCTGTCAAGACTGATACAGCAATGCTGTTGGATTGCAGCAAGCATTTTGAAAGAGTTGTACGAGAACTTGAGAATGGTGGACTTTTTGTCTTTTATCAGTTGAGTTTGTTTCCATTCAGACACATCGTGCTGCTGTTCGCCTATGTTTAAAATCCTCCAGATTATCGGCAGGGCTAATGATTGAAATAGACATGGCAAGAGACCTGCTTCACTGCTGTCCACGGTGTCTGCATTCAGACCCAGGGATTGAGGAGAAGAAAAGTTCTCATCATTTATAGTGTTTATATAAACACGAATATCTTTATAATGATATAACAAATTGTGGTTATGTATATATGAAATTCGAAATAACAATTGTAGCATGACATTAAGTTGCATTCTGTTTATTTCTTTGCATTTTAACTTTGTAAACTATACAACCATTGGTCTCACAGTTTGTGTCTCGACATTATGCTGACAACAGTTGTTCGCTCCCCTCTTTTTCCCCTGCTCTGCCGGCCACGCCCTTAACTCTCTCTGCTCGCAGCACTCCATGCCTATCTCAGAGCATTTTTGTAACAAATTCTAAGAAAAACTTATTAACTTAAGAGTATTCACTTGCACTTTATTGTTTATCCATATTTATCAATAGACATTTCACATTTATTTGGGCCTGCTTATAATCTGTCTTTATAAAGAAATGCATTTTTAATCATTGAGAATCCTTCCTTAACCAATCCTCATACTTAACCTCTTTACCATGCATTCACAGCACCCTCCCTCTCTATACCACAGCACAGACACGTCCAAACTGTTGATAGATCCAACCACGGACACATCATCTGTGCATTCAAGTGGTTTTATCTTTAAGAAGTTATTTTAGTCCTGTATTATTTTCAGAAACCTCCAAAAACCGTAAACACAGTGACCTCATTCACCAAACGGAATGAATGTGTGAGGATGGGGGCTTTCTTATTTTCTGAGTGGCATTTTGATTATTTAGTTGAGTTTTTGTGGTTTGAGGCATACAAATATATGGAGCGCGTGGGGGCATCCAAATCAACAGGACGATGTCTCTAAAAATTAAATAAAAAAAAAATTAAAATGAACTGATATGGTACTTATCAGCCTGTTTGTTAAGCCCAAAGCAAACCACACCAAAAACGCAGCATACAGTGTGACTGATGTGACCGTTTGGTGATGGGGTCAAACTTTCTTTGCTTGTAACCCATGTGCAATAGTGTGTGCTGGATGAGGATCATGGGAAATCCATCAACCATCTGGGGTTAGGAGCTCAAAGGCAGTTTTAGCTGTGGTCACACACAAAGCCGTGAGGAGAGATGAGCCAAGCGACAAATCTTAGGCACTAGCCAAAAGTGCATACTCGTCTCTTCTCACCTTTTTCTCCAACATTCAGCCAGTTTTGAGAAAGCCATGGGGAAGTTTGTTACAGTGGATGCAACAATTTGTGCCACAATAAAAAGTCTCTGGGGCAGTTTATGAAATTTTCAATTGGGACACACCAGGATGAAGAACAGTCATGCAATCAGGTTTAAGATGGGTTTTTGTTGCTAAAAGTCAAACTTACTTTCACATTCTTTGACGTCCACGTTGAACTGCTGCAGGGCTCCCATAGACACTTGCCTGACATCAGCCTCCAACAGCAGCTGCAGCAAGGAGGTGGAGAGGTGTTTACAGGCTGACATACATGCTGTCTGAGCCACCTTTCCCTACAGACAAAGAATGAAGAAAAACAAATGATGTATTTTCCAGCAGGACCTTCTCTAGCAGGTGGTGAAACTATGGATATTTAACTGTTTATAACTGTTTGCATGTTTCTCCACTTATTTTCTATCTGTCAGAGTGAATTGTGTTGGATTCTCTTGACCAGCACAATATTCTGCATTCTGGTCTCTAATGTAGACTTCATATATGCAACCACATTTCAGACTGAATTTACAATCCTGAAAGTCTATGCTTACATGCAATCTCAAAAAAAAAAAAAAAGAGTGAGGCTTAGTAGCACTCGGGTGGACATTTAAGCCGGGAGAACTGCAGTGCTGTTTAAACATCAATACACATTCGCTGTCACACATGTAGATACACACACAATTCAAGCTCCAAGCTGAAAACCTCAAATATGCCCTTGTCTGCCGTCCAGCGTTTTCCTGACAATCAGGCTAATACTTCAGGGGAGATCCAAAGCTATTAATATGACACTAAACCTGAAAGAAAACAGCAGACTGGAAGGTCAAGAGTCTATGTGGGATTTTTATCTGATGGGGTCAAAAAATAAAAACAAAACACCATTATACAAGAGGACTTCCTGCACACTGGAAACACTTGGGCCATAAATCTACTGAAATGAGGGAGGAATACATAGTAAATCCATTAGAGAGCCAGAAAGACGTTTTTATCCCCTTTTCATCCATGTGAGATGGGTAGAGAATGGAAGGAAAAACAAAAAGCAAGACAATGCCCTCTTTGCTCCAGAGCCATCTCATCCTTTCCTTCTCCTTCTCTATTTCACTACATCTTCCATGGAAACTCCACTTTAGCTATTTCTTAAATTTGAACCCACTAGTATTAACTAACTAATATTTTGCTTCAGTCTCTGACTGCAGAAAAGCCTTAAAGGCTACAGCCTTTTATAGAATTTTAGGTAAAAAAATAAATAAATACATAATAAATAAACAAATAATAATAATAATTTAATTAAAGGTAACCCTTTAACAAAACTGACTATTATTTTAATGTATTTACTAATATGAATTAAATATGAACAATTCTGTACAGCATTTTTTAAAAGTTATTAATGCACTGGGAGGAAACAAAAACTAACAATGAATGACTTTATTTTCATTAACTACCATAAAAAGATGAATACTGTAATAAATGTATTATTCATTGTTTGTTCATGTTAGTAGCAAAAAATTACTGACGGAAAATAAACAAAAAAATAAATGTGTAAAAACTAGGGGTGTGACGAGACACTTACTCCACGAGAGACGCGACATGAGATTGGGTTCACGAGAATGAGATAAGACGAGACAAGTCTTGTCATACTATTTTTTGGAATCCTCAATGGTGAAATATATGAATGGAAAATAGTATTTTATTCAACTGAAAATAAATAAATAAATAAATAAATAAAATAAATCACAGAATGCAAAACAATTTAGGTGCTTTCGCAAAAAAAAAATTGTAATGAATGTTATTTTACTTCTATTTTAATAAATTATGCCATAAAGAACATGCAAACACTGCTAAATATTTTGCTATAAACTCTCCTGGCTGGACAAACTCAGAGCTACTGAGTGCGAGTGTGTGCTCATAGGAGATAGCTGTTTTAATAGAATTTGATAGAAACATAATTTTAATAGAAAAAAAATATGTATGTTTTCTTTGGACGGCATAAATGATGTGTTTACAACGATTATGTCTTTACGCATATCTAAAGGGCAGAGCTGGTTGCCAGTTGTGTACAAAGCACTTAATTTGAGTGTCAAATCCAATCTCAAACTCACCCTCACACTCCATTACGACATCACAACTCACGAGACAACTTTTCACCATTTAGTCTCACGAGATCCCAAAGGACGAATAAAAACATAGTACAATAAACTAAAAATAGATCAAATAAAATCTCAAAACGTGTTTAAGCCACCCTGTATGAATGCCATTTTCAAAACATCAAATCAACTGACATTTGATAAAGCAAATAACTCCATTGCAGTTCTAAAATAGAGATATTTTTATTTTAAATACATGAGGCTTGCCAATATATTAAGACACCTGATGCACTGAACTTGATGCAGAATATCTTGCTTTTCACAGTATACATTGAGCGGGCAGACTGAAGCAGCCCCAACAAAAACTTGCTCATACAGAATCAGAAAGCAGGAACTGGACATGGTTGCCATCACCATCAGCTTGTCGTATAGCTGTAAACTTCACTTAGCTAAAAGCTTCTTTGTAGACAAATATACAGTACATAAACACACCCGACTGAATGGTTCAGGTGGGGTCAGCAGGAAAAGCCCACCGTTCATCTCTCACTCCAAAAAAGAAAAGGGGATAGATGCATTCAATTGTGTCTTGTGCAATTACTATAATCCATCTTCACCAGCCTCTGAAACACCTACATCCTAAGTGCTAATCTACATGGGACATAATCAAGAAATATAACTATTTTGTTAGAATACAGCTTAACGAATAGTATAGAACAGTCAGCGCCACTATACACATGAACACTAATTGCATTTCTTTTTTTTTACTAGACAGAATGCAACTGCAAAGTCGGCAACACCGAGTTCCAAAAGTATCAGAAATTTCTTTCCAAAATGTTTGCATAGCGTGTTGTGTTCAGTCAGCTACTAATCAGGCTGAAGTACTAACTAGGTGATTATAGATGATTAGAGGGCATGCTATGCACTGCAGTGATTAAAAAATAAACACGCTTGTTTTCCGGCCTCCTGTCTCTGTATCTTTAATAGCCATAATAAATCACAGAGGCCAAAGCAGCGAGGGTTGTTACTGGTCCTCATGACGGAATGAAGTACCCACCTGTCTCCTACTGGGACATTCTAATCACTCACAAATCATTTGGTCTGATTGGAGAGGCGTTTGTAAACTCGGTGTGGTCAGCCTCGTTTTTTTTTTTTTTTTTAAACAAATAAGAGTCTGTGGATTGGCAAGTATCTGGACTGCGTGGATAGATGCGCTTTTTCTTTTTTCTAACACTATATTTAATCAATGATGCATTTTTTTACTTTTGAAGTCTACATTATGGACAAAAGTAAAAATAAATAAATAAATAAATAAAACAAACAACCTGATAATGAACTACTAACAAAATATTAACTGGTTTCACACTTGGTTTGATTGCCTGGTCCAAATAAAAACGGACAGGTCCCCACTTCCCCTGCTTAATTGCGCTTACACTGTTTTTTGATTAGCAGAAAACAGCTAATTTAATGAAAACAAAGGATTATAAGGCAAAATGAGTGAGAGAGTGAAGTGCTTTTCACATTCTTCAGAAAAACAAAAGTAAATACACACGTTGGCGGTTTCATTAGGGAATTTTGCACCGTGTAGTTACAAGAACTCAGGCACTAGGAACCAGGACCAAATACCTGAAAACTAAATTCCCCCCGACCATCACTAGGAACCTTAATCAACTCCAAGAAGATTTGAGATCAACACTGAATCAACCCTTAAGTGATGAAGGATGCTGTGATCAGGGCTGTGTTTCATAATGGAGAAAGAAATCTAAATCACTTATGACAACTTTCAGTGCTGTTTCTTTAAAGCTGAGAAAATAACACAATGCAGCTGATAAAGGCCACAAGTAAATTCTGCAAACATTAGCTTTTTGATTATGTTCAGAAGGCATCATATTATAGAGACAAACTGAAGTTTGACATTATATAAACCAATGGGCATCAAAAGTGCTTGTGCGAAAGCCTCCTAAAATTTACCACCACAATGTAATTCACAAAAAAAGAAACCCTAAAGCAGAAATGCAAAGAACAATAGGACGCACAGTCCAGTTAACTGAATTGTAACATTAAAGGATTTTCACATGATCTCAGTTTTAAGTTTAAATGCTTAAAATGCTTTGTGTACAAATGTTTATCATAAATCAGTCATAAAAAAGTGCAGTTTGTTATTGAATAATAGTTAAATGGTTTGCGTTCACACCGTCTTTCCTTCTGCACCTGGTAAGCTTGCGTTATCAAACTGCTGTTTTGTGTACAGCTGTTGACAGGTGATAGCCACAAAAGCAAAGCGCTAAAACGGAGACCTCCACTTATCACAGTCAGTCTGCTTTTACTGATTGTTTTGCTTTTGTTACCAAAGCCACTTGCATCGATCTGAATTAAAAAAAAAAAAACTTTAAAAACGTTTAGAACATCATGCGATGTGTGCAGAAGTCGTTTTTGCAGAGATTATCACTGTTTGCACTGGGTCAGTACTGCTTGTCGCCAAGGTAGGTGATACACAGACATACACACACAAATGAACGTCATAAAATCTAAAGTTTGCTGTACAGTTGGCGATTCACTTCCGTTATTTGGTGCAATTTAATTCATATCAGAGGTGAACCAAACCAGAGTTCGCACAAACAGTACCCCAGACCACTTCTTTCGGGCGGACTCAGAAGACAACGTTCACACTAGCCAAGCGTACCACACTTTGATGTCAAATGAACGCGAAAGTGTAATCTGACGTGCACAACTAACACGCTCTAGCTTTAGACCTGCTCTCAGCTGGCCTATTGTGCAGTCTATTTTAGTTCCTCTAAAAAGCAACATGCCAGCAATGCGCCTTAACACACATGCTTTTTTAGACCAGAAAGCCTATAGGCGCACATGAGAGCAAATGCATTTGCCATTTAAACAGCGTGGTGTAAAACATCAAAATGCCACTTGTGTTGAGCTGAAACTAGCAAATAACATTTGCGTCGTGCCTTGCGCCACATTGCACCAGGTGTATGATAGGGCCCTTAATGAATGTTGTTGGTTTTTTTAACTTACGGTTACGAATAGAGCAATATTCTGGTGTTTAACTGCATTGCTTTAATGCACTATTGCATTGGGCTTACACATATACTCTGAACTCTGGCTACTTCAATAATGTTAAAAAGCCATGGTGGGCGTTTCTATCTGATCGCAGTCAACCAATCGCAACAGTCTGGGTCATCGAACTATTTACCACAGATTAGCGT